GACTTTTTATTTACCTGAGTCGAATAAACTCCTTTTTTGATGTATGGTCAGTCTGGTTTGAATTGGGTTTCTGTCACTTGTCACTGAGAGAATTCAGACTGACAGAAAGTGTTTGTGAAACATGGGTTCTTATATCCAATGAATGGAAACAATGCTTTGTTTCCATGGCATTTCTGTGGCCCCCCTGCCAATACTGCTGCTTGGTGGCCTTTTATCACCCATAGCGGCATGACTCTCTTGGGGGGGCACACCTGAAACCTGGCAATCTGAGGGGGCCTCAAAAAGGCAGCTTGTTTCTACCCCGTGTGGACCCTTAGGAGATAAGCCCTGATATTCTGGGGTTTGGGGAATCTGTTTCCTTAACCTTCAGACACAAGAGCCCCCGTATTAGTGGGGCTCCAATATGAAAAGCCTATGGCTCACACTTAAGGAAGTCCATCCTTTCCCCAGCTTTCATCCTGCTGACCGGGTCAAGGAGAAAGTCTCGGGGAGGTGCTGCTGCCCTCAGCCTTTATAACAAAGACATGCCAGCCTTGTGGGAGGCAACCTCTTGCCTGAATGCAAAAACACCGCTGCTCTCATTGTACTTGGTTTTGCCGTGACCTTTTACGAAAGGCAGTGGAGACTGGTTTTTCATTTACAGTTATCATTTAAGACTTCCTTCTCAAATACTATTTAAGCTTCAAAAAGTAAGTCCAGTTCAATAAAATCTCAAATAATGGAACAGATGGCCCTGGGATGCTGCAAACGCTCCACGAGGACTGTGTCTAACTCCTCTTGTTGTCTCTGAGCCTGTCTGAGCCACTGAGGCTCACCAAAGATTTGGCAGGATCGAATCCAACCAGTAAACCCCAGCAGGGCTCCCCAGTGACACAGCCCCTCTGACTCAAGGTCATCAGATGCAAACAAGACGCCAGCCTCTGTGTGCTTCTCCTTCTCTTATCCTTCTGGTGAAGGTGGTGAGCCAAGCCCCTGCTGGTCTCCAAGGATCACTGAAACGCAGGGATTTTCCCAATCACCTTGACAATGTATTGATAATGGAGGCTGCTTACTGACCCCTGTGCCCTGGAACCAGTTCCCCTGGGCACTTGAAACTTTGGAGTGACAACTCAGGGAAGGGTGCCAGATGCAAGCAAGCAAAGAGCAAACGAGTCTGTGGCCCTCCTCCCCCCGCCCCAACCTCGAAATGAATCAGACGCAGGACGAGCCCCTCTGTGTGTCCCATCCCCGTTCTCCCAACCAGACCCTAATTAGGATGGACGGCTGTTCTCCACCCGGGACTGGAAGGAAGCCTGGAATTAGCTCAGTCGAGAAGCCTTCAGCCCTGAGAACCATCAGAACTGCCGCACGAATGAGCAGAAAATAGCAGATGATAAATTTTTTAGGACCACCCTCTGTGTGCCGGTTGTAGCAGACTGTGAGATAATGGGCTGGCCTTTTTTGGAACATGCATTATTGATCTGGGTCTGTCTAGTGGTTTATAAAAAGCCCGCCCCCCCCCCCAACTACCACCTTCCCATTCCTCACCTCCTGAAAGCTACACAACCTCCTTCAAAAGCCAGTTCTGCTGGGGAGGGGGCGGCTCGAGTGTGGAAGGGAAGGTTCGCAGGCACTGGCTTGTCTATGCAAGGTGGTGCTGTGCTGTGCTGTGGGAGCTGACAGACGCCCCAGAACGCGAGGGCTCTCCACGCACCGACTTCACTGCCTGGAATTTCTCCCTTTGCAGCACCTGCTCGTGTACGCTGAGATGCGTGTATAAAGACATTCCCGGCAATGGTATTTGTGACAGGGAACACCAACTAACACACACACACGAACACTCTAGAAACGACTCAAAAGCTACTCCAGGAGACTGGTTAAGTAGAACAGTGTTTAAGACCACGGGATCTGGTTTCCAGTCTCGCCTGGCCACGGTCTAGCCATGTGGGTGTGACCTTGGACAAGAAACTTCATTTTCCTGCGACTTAATCTCTCCCTCTTTAAGACAGAGTGAATCTCTGTATTTTAGGTTAGCCGTGGTTCTCCCTGCTCTCCTCCCTCCTGTGTCCTTACCACGTCCATAGATCCTTTTTCTATATTTGCACATTCTTTGGTTTTATTCGAGAGTCACAGATGTAAACGTGTGATCACATTCTGGCACCAGGCTTAGCTGGATCACGTTGCTGCAGCAAAAATGTGTTGTTCCTGGGGGTGGCCGTTCCACCATTCACCTTGGTTCGGGCCGATAGTCTAGGAGTTGCCCTAGATCTTCCTCTTTTCCTTAACCCCCTCATCCAACCATTGGTCGGTGCCTCACGTATGACTGCTCCTGCCTCAAGTCCAAGCCTCCGTCACCCCCTGCCCAACTTCCGCAGCCTCCGAATGGGGCTCCCTGTCTCTGCTCTTGCTCTTGGCGATCCCAAATTGAACATAATAGCCAGAGGGATCCTGCTGGAACCCGAGTGACCTCATAGCCCCTGCTAAAGGCCCCCTAACCTATGTCCGTTTTACTAAAACTCAAAACCCTCATCAGGACCACAAGGCCCCTCACGACCTGGCCCCAGTTCACTCCTGGTCTCATCTCTCTCCACTTCTATGCTGGCCCTCTCCAGTCCATAGCCTTCCTTCTGTCCTAACCCACCAAGTTCATTGCTAACTACCATAGTGTCTTTGCCTTGCCGTTCTCTTGACCCGGAATCCTCCTTCCTCATCTTCTAATTCCCAGCACAGTGTGCTGCACAGGGTTGGATGCTTAATACATACCTGCTGAATGCACGAGTGGGTGTCTGGGCAGCCTTGAACTCTGAGGCATGACTACCGTTGAGGGACCCTGTGAAGCAGGACCCCTGTGCTCAGAGATCCGGGTGCCACATGCAAGTACTCTCTGCAAAACTCTACCAGAAACAAAATTTGCGTCCCTATGGCCATGACTGTTGACTCCCCATGGTCATCAAACACGGTTCAAGCTAGATGCTGCTGGACAGATAGGTATTCTGTGTGTTCAGCTGTCAATAAAGGTTCTGGGCTTTGATTGCTTCCTGCCTACAAAGACTTCTTGCACTCGATAAGCTCCCCGAGAAAAATCTATACTTGTGATCATTAATACAAATCATTATAAAGAGCAACTGGGATGTATATAAGTCATTTTTTTTTTTTTTTTAGTAATTAAAAAGAGTGATGCATGCTTTTAATAATGGATGCAAAAAGAGGGTAGACTTGAAGTTGGATCTTCACCACAATCTCAGGTTTGGCAGCAAAGGCTTAGCCAGGAAACATTTACATTTGTTGCCATCTATAATATTCTATAATATTCTATAATATTCAATTGCCTCAGGGCCTTTGCACGTGCTACTTCCCCTTGCTTAAAAGCCTTTTCTCAGATCTTCACAGTACACAGTGACACTAATGATTAGAAGGGAAAATGTGTAGGAGGAAAACACACAAGGCTGTGTGTTGTCCAATACAGTAGCCATAAGCGGTTACCGAGCACCTGCAAGGTGGCTAGTCCTAAATGAATTGTGCTCTAAGTGTAAACTACAGGCCAGATTTCAAAAACAATATAAAAAATGTAAACTATCTCCTTAAGGACTTTTTATATTGATTACATGTTGAGATGATAATCCTCTGAACACAAGGGGTTAAACAAAAATACATTATTAATTTCACCTGTTTTTTTTTAAAGCATTAAAAAATGTAGCCACTGGAAAATTTAAAATTGCTTATGTCATTTGCATTTATGGCACCCGTTATATTCCTATAGGGCAGTTCTGTGTATGGGGTCCTGTTGAGAAAGAGAACTGGTAAAATCAGTGACTTCAGGGTGGGGGCAGGGGAACGGATACGAGCTAGGGAGAAAGAAGGTTTCCTGAGGGAGACCCCTCCCTCCCAACGGTGAGCTGGAACTACCAATGGAGCTCAACCCCTGGGACCAGAAGGTGCAGCTGAGACAGACTCTGGAGGGCTCGCTCTTGGTGGCCTCATGTGTGGCGGGCTTGTCCTCATGCAAGGGGACAAGTGGGGAGAAAAGCCTCGGGCAGGTGTAGCACCCACCTCTGGGGCGGGGCCTTGTGGTTTTGCGTGGGAATGCAGGGGTGGAGCCAGGGGTGAGCCAGGATGGCCTCTTGCTGGGTTAAGGAGGTGGCGGCTGGGGTGGCCTGCATGGGTAATCAAGGCACTGAGACTACGAGCTGGAGAAGTCCCTGACACGCCTGTCATCCATACCAGCGAGCTAAACCCTGGCGAGAGTCCCTGTCCTCACCCGCTTTCCTCAGAGCCAAAGCACCATGAGTGGAGGAAGCTCTGGATAGGAGGCGGACAAGCTCATCGTCCTGAGGCACTATCTTTGTGAACAGGGTCAGGTTACTAGAAATTGTGTCCGCCCTTCCTATCCCTGGATGCCACCAAGGATGTGGTCACCTGAAGTGGTTAAGATTGGAGAGGAAGGGCCCACATGTGCATGTGTGTACACACAGGTACAGGTACACACACACTCACACCCTGGCTGGCTCCTTCTTAGTTTCAGTGTCAGCTCAAACATCACCCCCTCTGAGAGGCCCTCCCTGATTACCAATCCAAAGTGGCTCCCCCTCCCCTTGGCCCCATCGGGCACAGCCCCTTTCTCCCTTCTTGAAATGATCATCCCTGTGACCCTGCTATTACCTGTGTCCCTCACTTCGTGACAGTAAGGTCTATGCCTGTCTCACTCCTTACTGAAGTTCCAGGCCCTATGACACTGGCACACAGCACGTACTCAATAGAAACTGCATGAAAATAACAAATTGATCTAAACATCTCTTCTGACTTTGGGAGCAATCAAGAAAGGGTTCTGCCTTAGGAACGAGTTGGACACCCCTCGCCTTGTGGACCAAGCTGCAAAGGCATGTGTGTGGGACAACCCCTGTGACTTGGTTGAAACCCCAGTGAGCTCCCCGGGGTCTCCTCCAGCCGCCCTGCATCAGGAGCCTCAGCCCCAGCGCGGTGGCCCTGGCCGGGGAGGTGCGCCCCGTGGGCCAGCTGCTTACCCAGCTCCACGTCCTGGTCGTCCGTCAGCACCAGGATGATGTTGGGCCGGATGTTTCTGCGGTCCCTCTGAAACCTGCTTTTCAGGCGGTGGTGGGACAGAAACGCCGAACTTCCCCCCAGCAGAGAGCACACGGTGGCAGACAGCAAGCAAAGCAGGAGGCTGGGCGGGGCCATTTTACGGGCCACCGATCTGGGCGTCCTATGGGACCCAGGAGTCTGAAGTCGCGTGTTGTGGCTGTGTCTCTTGTCGCTTCTTCCCGCTTTACTCAGGGATCTAAAGTAGGAGGAAAAGAATCAGGTCAGTCTTTACGTAAAGGCCGCCTGACGGCTTGGGCTTGCATAATGATTTCTGGCATGGACACCGAGGGTTCCTTTGATCAGGGGGAGCTAGAGCAGTGAGAAAGTGGGAAGGAAAGAACTTGCAATGTGCTCCCGCGACACTGTGGCAGGAAAGCTTTCTGTGACTGCTTCTGCAGACAGATGTCTCCCCTGGACCAGCGGTCTTCTGAACATGCTGGGGGCAGCCCTGGGCCCAAGTCAGATAACCAGCCTGTCTCTGAATCCGCCAACCAGTTCAGCAGCAGAGCAGCCCCAGAACAGGGAAAAACAAGGAGCCCAGACTGGGGGAGCAGATATTTCTGGGCCTCCCTTCTCCCCCCACCCTCCCAGGAGGTGAGAGGGATGGGGTGTGGTGGGGCAGAGAGGCAGAGGTGAGCAGGATAGTCCCCGCTCTAGGGCAGTGCAGCGTGTGGCTGAGGCCCCGTGTGGATGTGCAGGGCTGAGCGACCCTGTATGTGTCCCAGTCCCAGCTGTGTCGCTCGCCAGCCGGGTATCCTCCCCAGCAAGCCAGTAGGGAACCTCAGCTTTCCCGCGAATAAAATGGGGAGACAAGATGTTAAGGGAGCTCAAGTCAGTGGGATGTGTGTGATGGCACCCTGCAGACAGATCCCATAGCTGGGCAAGTTATTCACATGAGTTTTAAGTTTGTAGAATCAACAAAAGGACACAAGAGAAAATTGAGGGCTAAAAAGCTACAGGAGAAGAGCTGTCATAGTCTGTTGCGACCTCGGTCACCCCTGGGCCCCCCAGGTCTGATGCGGTCACCAGCAAAGGTGGGAGGGACGGCAGGATGGTGCATCTTGGCTCGGGCAGGTCTGATCTTGTTCTGCTCTTTGCTCTCTGTGGTCATTTTTCTATTTCTTGAGGAAATGAGCCTTCAAGTCTTTCCAGATATAGACTTTAGGTCTCATTTATTTAAAATGAGAGACAGTGAGCGAGCAGATGTGCCAGGAGGAAACCAAGCTTGTTGGAGGTGGGGCTGCGTGACCTTGAAGGACTCTGCCCACCTCCCCCCATCAAAGTCCCAGCTCAGGGAACTCATCAAGGGCTCTGGTCCATAGGAGGAGATGTGCCACTGCAACAGCCCCCTAAGAGGTCCTCCATTTCCCCCGACTGTGCCCTCATTCGCCATCCTCTCCAGGGCACCGGGAGGATCTTCCTAAAAGGTAAATCCCATAGGATCACTCTGCAGGCCTGGCCCAGGCTGAGACCAGCAAGGTGTTCGGGGCACAAGATAGAAGGGACTCACTCCAGGTGGCTCCAGCGTGGGGCACTCACCTCACTTTAGCCCCAGTCCTGTCCCTCACTTGCTCAGACTCCCACCTTGGCTTCCCCAGCCCAAGGAATACAATGCACACTCCCCACCATGGCCTACAGGTGATTCAAGAGATCTAGCCCCTTCCTACCTCTCCTTCTTCCTCCCAGTTGCTCCCCAACCCCACAGGCTTCTTTCTGTTGACAAATCAAGTGTGTTCCTGCCCCAGGGCCTTTGCATGTGTTCTTCCTTAAACCTAGAAGATTCTTTTCCCAGATTTCTTTTCTTTTTTTTAAATTTAATTTATTTTTTTGGAAGATTTTATTTATTTATTTGACAGAGAGAAAGATCACAAGTAGGCAGAGAGGCAGGCAGAGAGAGAGGGGGGGAAGCAGGCTCCCTGCTGAGCAGAGAGCCGGATGCGGGGCTCAATCCCAGGACCCTGAGATCATGACCTGAGCCAAAGGCAGCTGCTTAACCCACTGAGCCACCCAGGCGCCCCTCAGATTTATTTTCTATACAGGGCTTACTCTTCTCTGTCAAGTCTTGGCACAAACGCCACCTCCTCAGAAAGGCCTGCCCGGACTGCCCTAAGGTGGTGCCCTCCACGTGAGGCACTCTCTGTATTTTCTAACCGTGTTTATTCTCCCCACAATCCCTACTACAACCTGCAATTATCTTAGTTGCCCAGTTCTCCCCACTAAAGGCTCAGCCCCACAAGGGTAGGGGCCTACGTTAATCACAGCTGGGTCCCCAGCCCTTAGTACTATGCCTGTCATGTAATAGGAGAAGGAGCCAAATAAATATTCTGAAAGCTAAAGGAATGGAGATTTGGTTAAGGTCCTCTGAGTTCTGCAGACTGAGGGGCGTGGGGCTCGGCAGGGCCATGTCATGACCTCAGTATGGAGGCTCCGAGGCATCACCAACCCCCTTCCCCTGTCATCCTCCCGCAGGAAGGGTCCTGGGGCGGGCTGCTCTTTGTCCCTCGGATCCATTTTCCACCCTGCTCTGTGCCCCAGGAAGCCAGTCTCGCCTCTACAGGTGGCACCTGCCCAGTCCCTGGCTTCCTGCTAGTTCTGCCAATGGGAGTTCTGCTGGGCAGGCGGAGGCAGGAAATCAGCATGTTTCTCCAACTCTGCTCCCTCCCTTGCATCCCAGGCACCCCAGGACCTTTGTCTTTCTAGGCTGGCCATGGTTCTAGCTTTCCTTTAGTCCTGGGGGCCCTCTCAGCCTCCTCTTGCCGCTTCAAGCCTATGGGTAGTGATGACTCCCCTCCCTTGCCAGCTCCCTCCAGGGGTTGTAAGATTCCTTGTTTGCTCCCTTAACCCAAAATGCCTCTAGAAGTCATGCCTTCAATTGACACTCCCCGGGGCAGGCTAGGAGTTGGAGCAGGCTTTTTGCTCTGCCTCCCTCCCCAAGGACCTCCAACAGGACAGCTGTGCAGAGAGGGGAGATGGAGATGGAGACCACATTCTCAGGGGAGCTGACCTGGGAACCATGACTTTCACAGGCTCCAAGGGCAAGCACTGGCTTCCATCCTGTGGCCTCTCGGCGACCAGAGCCACCGCACCAAGTGTGTCCTGAGCTCCTGCTGTGCCACACTGTGTATGGTTAAGACATGTACTTTGGAGTCCCTTGCTGGCTGACCCAAGGCAAATAACTCAACACCTCTGTGCCTCAGTTTCCTTATTTATAAAACAGGTGTGGAGGATGAACCAGGTTCATACAGAGTGCTGAGACCACAGGGCGGCACATGGAATGACCCAGAACACATCATTCACAGAGTAAACCATTCTCAGATGATGGTCGCTGTGGTCGTGGGTGGGCTGTGAGGGGCACCTGCCTGCAGTCTCCCCCACTCCCAACCACCTCCCACACAGGTATGAGCGCTGTTCCCATTTTACAGGTGAGAACATGGTGGCTCAGTCATGGTCCTGAGCTCACCCCGGGGAGGAAACGGCAGAGAAGGTCTGACCTCTGCTCCCCTGCGGGTCCCCTCCCCTAAAGGCACCTTTCCCAATCTCCCCCATTCAGATGCCACAGCCCCTGTTGCTGCTCTATTTCCACAACCCTTCTACTGTGACATGGCTTCATTTAAAAACAAAAACACAAATCCGTGTTTTTAAAAAGCAAGCTTTCTATCCAAGGGTAAAGGGGAAAATTGGCATTCCCATTGCCATCAAACGAACTCACACAAAATGAAAGAAAGCGGACATTGCTACTCAGTCTCACAGCTTCTCGTTCCTTCCTAAGGCTCTAAGCTGAGCTCTATGCCTACCTCCTTTCCCGCCTGTACACTCTCTCTTTTTAAGTGTTGAAAGGAGTCAAAATGCATTAGTACCATCCCAGACTTTCTGCTGGAGCGGGGGAGAGGCCGGAAGAGGGTTGAAAAGGAGACATGTTCCACCATCAAATCGGTCCCTGAATTACCCCAAATCCTGGGGTGGGGGTGGTCCTCAAATCATGTTGTTTATCAGTCTGTGTCTTCCTGTTCCTGGAAATACACTAGGATGCTCTGTGCTTTGCATTTGAACTGATGTGCCAACCAGCCCACCTTCACGTATGAAATGCACATTTACATGCCTTCAGATAGACACCAACCACTAATGTAACATCGAGAGACTTTCCAAGCGGTGCCCCCACATCTCTCTTCTGCCAGAAACAGTAACAGCTAATGCTTGTGGAGAGCATACCATACTCCAGCCCCTGCTCTAGACATTTTCCGTTTAATCCGCATTTCCGCTCATCCATATTATACCCATCTCATGGATGAGGAAGCAGAGGCATAGAGAGTTAAAAGTGCTTTTTCCATGATCACGCGATTAAGTGGCAGACATAGGGTTCAAAGCCAGTCTGGCTTGACCGACTGCTCAAACAGAAGCCTCTGGAAGCAGCCTGCTGGGCAAGTTCCTGAGGTTCCCAGCCTCGGTTTCCCTCATTTGCCAAATGGAGCAGCAGGTGGCCAGGTGTCCCCTGAGGGTCTTTGGTCTGTACCTGTGATGTAGAAGGGGCTATGGAGCCCTGAGCTGCAGCCTGTACTGGGAGCTTTGGGCCAGATGGTGGGTAGAGCTGGGAGATGTGGTCAGCTGGATTCTGTTCGTAGCACCCACGCTGGTTTTCTCATGTCCCCTTCCTTCCCCCCAACAACCACAGTCCCTTTCATTCCCTGCTCCCCGGCAACTATACCCCACCAGCCAGGACGCTCCCCATCTGGATGGAAGTCAAAGCTCTGTGACTGGAGACTGGAGAATAACAGGGGCTAATTATTTCATCAGATCAAGTCATCGGTAGGTCGATTTTTGATGAATTCCCCCAGCTCTGACTTCCCCTGGCCTTGTGCCAGCCTCTCTCTGGATGCTAAAGAAATCAATTAAAAATGACACATGGGATTCTGCCTCCATTTTTTTTCCTTTTTGGAAAAAAATTCAAAGTGGTTAAATGGAGAGTATGAGGTGACTCTGTACAGCACCAGTGGCCTGATGTCCCCACTATCCCCTGGACACCTCGTCTCATTCCCACCAGCTCGCTCCAAGGTCCATTTAGGTCCTTCTCTTTGTCCTGTATCTTCTACAAATCTTGGCAAAGGCTTGCCAGTCGAGGAAGACAGCTCTAGAAATATCTAGTATCCCAAGTGTTCAGAAACATCACTCCTGCTTTCAGATTTATCTAGAAGATAAATT